CCCCAAAACCCCAAAACCCCAAAACCCCAAAACCCCTGGTTTTATTGGAAAAATTGAATATTATGATTAACTTATACAACGACTTCATTGAGAAAAAGAATTTAGAGTTTGGAAAAATGAGCTATGACTTACGATCCCCACCAAGCCTTGATACGAGAGCTATGGCAGCTCACGACCAGAGAAAAAATGCCCTCAAAGCAGCTCGTCTTAACCGTTCTGATGAGATACAGCTAGGTAAGTAGTTCTGTTGAGTCAAATTTGAAGAACCTTCAGTACTTCTTCAAGTCTTCATACTGACTGACAAAATTTTTGAATACTCCTAAAACTGGAAGAAATGTTCAATATTTTTAGATTTTATACAAAAGTGCTATATTTTGTACTTTTCACAACTTCATAATTTTTGAGTGCAAATTTGACATCAAAAATGTAGAAACTATCAGAGAGAAATAGATTCAGAATGAGGAATTGGCGTTACTTAAAAGCTGAGCATCCCAAACTCCATGAAGAAAAAGGCTATTGTTCCAGAAATAGAGGTGATGGGCAGCTGAAGTTTAATTGAAAGCAGGATCTCTTCCAGAACCACTCCCAGGACTTAAAGGAGAGAAATTTGAAAACTATGAATAAATCTCGAACTGAAAAGAAATCCCATCCACATAAAAGCTATCAAAATGCAATTGGAAAGATCAGATTGTTCCGTGACTTAAAGAAGGTGCCTGGATCTAGAAGAGCCATTAAGAACGGTAGAGTTCTACATGAAATTTCAGGGTCATACTTTTGTGAAAAACAGAAACTACACAAGCCTAATCAAATCAAAAATGGCAGTATGCATAAAAGAAAGATTAAAAATTATAAATTAAAAGATATTCGGCAGAATGAAAAGAAACAGATTAAAAAATAAATCGACGAAAAAGAGTAAGGCTCAGAGGAAATTAAGGAAGATTAGTTTCAATGATGAGACGAACCTAAACAAATTGGTGAGTATATTAGGTCTATTTTCCATCATTCTAATGTTTATAGAACCTTGCACAGCAAAATTTTATCAACACAGGCTCTGAAGAGCGAGTCAAAGGGAATCTGAAGCAAAGAAGGAGTATTAAAGCGATTATTACTTCTCGGTGAAGAGAGAATTTAGATAGGTAAGAATCTTAAAATTATAATTTTCATGACTGAGAATGTGTTAATAAATTTCATAGACAACCACTTGTTCCGAAACCATGCCTGAAGAACATTAACAAAGAAGTTGAAAGAGAAGTAATCACTGAAATCAAACACATTGCAGATACTAGCATGGAACAAGAAAAGCCTTATTGATATATTCCAAGTATTCCTCAGGCTCTTGGAAGAGATTTATCGATAAATTCTGACGCAAAAATGGAATCTGAAGAGATTCCTCAGCAAAAGATCTTCAAAGCAATTAAAAACAGTATTTATCAGAACTTTACATCTAGGTTTTTGGAGTTTTCAGAAGAACAAGAGATTGGAGAAAACTCACTGTCCCTTACAAGTAGAGTACATGAAGAACTATGGAGAGCGACTGCTAGAGAAATATCTTCTCAGGGAGAAAGACTTTGGAGACCCTTTTCTTGGCCATAACATTCCGAAACATTTAAGATGTAAGACAGCAAGATGGGTCAGAAAAATCTGAATTACCATGAAGATCAAAAACAATAGTCCTCGAGTGTTCCATCTCGGTAAGCAAATGCTCTAAACTCTATAGCTATGCATATCTTTGATTACTTCTTTTGGATGAAACAAGAAATTGAGAACTTTACTGATCAGCATCTTCACCTGATCGCAGTGGTGAGTATCTTCATGGCTTCTAAATATGAAGGTAAGTCAGAAATTCTTCTTACTAGCTAGAAATAACCTGATCTCTTTAGAAATCGAACCATTAAAGCTGGACTCAGTCTATAAATCCATTGGCTTTAAAGAATTTACTAAGAAGGAGATTATTTACACAGAGAGAGCTATTCTTGAGAAAATTTCTACTCTATCATTTGTGACTGCATATGATTTCTTGGCATTGATAACAGAAAATTTGCAGACCTTTGCTAGAGATGAAGAGATGATTTTGAGGGAATTTATTCAAGAATCTGGCAAAGAACTTGAAGAATGCATCATCCATCCGCATTTGAGTCAGTTCAAGCCATCAATCTTGTGAATAATCTGTTTGAATCGTACATTAGATGATTTTGCGAAAAATAGTAAGACTTGGTCATCTAACTCTTTAGCAATGACAACGAAAGATTGTGGGAAAGAAAACATCAACCCTTTTGTTCAGAATTTTGAGCAAATTTCAAGCATAGAGTACCTCAACCACAAAGCTCCCTTCTCTAGGGCTAGCAGCAACAGTACTCGCTTGACTAACTCTTTAGAGCGACTTAATGAGGAACTAAGAATTCGGGCTCAAACAAATTGCGCAATTCTTGAGGCTAAAAAGGTCCAAACTTCTCCTTTTAGCCTCAAAAGAAAGCTAGTCAGAAGATGGAGGAACCAGATAAGTAATCTTGAAGAGTACGGCATGAAGATGCCTGTCATTCAGAGTGTCATCTAAACCTTCCGACAGCAATGAACATTTCTGGTATCTAATTTTTGTAATATAATTCAAATATTTCCTTTCAGCTTGCTTATTAATTTAGGGGTTTTGGGGTTTTGGGGTTTTGGGGTTTTGGGG